TGATCGAAAGGTAATCCCGCCTTTGTGCATAGTTAGCTTACAAAACAGTGATAAAAACGGAAGTCTACAAGAAGTTACCAAGTCTAAATAAATCGAAGTAAAAATTATTCAACTGCAGACGAGACGGACGAAGAAAAAACGAACCTGACCTCTAGAAATACCTCATTCATAGTGCGTCATTACCGAGGAACGCCACCCTAAGGCGACGTAACGCATGTAGTGACATCACAACCGATGCATGCTGGGTTACAACGGAGATTTTGATTGAGGTAGCAAAGATGGCGGCGCAGAGTGCATGTTTTTCCGCGATATTTAAAAACAACATTTCGTTGGCGATTTTGATGTAATTTGTAAGTTAATCATCAATGAATCGTTTTAATTAAGCAAACATTCTAAGTTTGTGTATTTTTAAACAAAAAAGTCAGGGACCGATGATCGCAACAGCAGCGGTGAATACCCGTTCAACACAATGCCGTCAGCTGACAATGTTACGGTGATCGTAGCGTTACACAAATAATAGATAGATCAATGAAAAATCGCTGACTTTAGTTTTGAAATGCTGTTATAGAAAAAAAATGTCATTATTGATTTATTAATTTCTTCATACAGATTTTACTTCAGTTATAATGTTTGTTGGGGAAACTAATTATTATGCAAACAAAATTATGCAAATAAGATGTATTGTTATGTAAATTAGCCGCGATGCTTGGCTTAGAGTCTGGGGAGAACACTGATTATATGAAATCTTCACTCAGGCTTATGTATGCCCATGCACTTTGAATTAGTAAATAAATATAATAACGACTGTGCATCAGCTCTTCAATGCACAATACACTGGCACTCGTCTATATCTTCCTATATTGTTGTAATTTCAGTCAGCGGCCCAACTGGAGTTACAGCTCTTTAAGTTGTACCACAATGAGCAGGATATAGACAGATATAATGAAGAGCTGAAAAGCAAGAACAAAGAAGTTACAAAAGCCATGGAAAGACGTGAAAATGTGGAACAGAAGATTAAAGCCAAGAAGAAAGATCTGGGTACGCTTACTAGAGAAATGACATCAATTGAAAATGACATCAAACGAAAGGTATGGTTTACTAAAAAAAAAAAAGATTTGCAGTTCAATTCTGGACTTGTATTTAATGATTAATATAAGATCTGTACATTCAGATATGATTTCTTGATTTTAATATGGTCTATAGATTTGTAAATAAGATATGTTGATTTTGTTATTCTTTGTACCTTGAAAGTGCAAGACAGCTGAACTTAGATTTAACAATTAATGTTATTTTAGCTAATTTAGCTAATTCAAGATGTAACAGTAATGTAACAGTATATTCTCCAAACGAAATTGTTGGCACAATAGCTAAATTATGAAATGAGTGAAATGTGCTAAAATTACATGTAGTGTTTTACTGTATATAATTGGGTTGTTTTCCACCAATGTAGGAAATAGAGTTGAATAAGAAGAGACCACAGTACATAAAAGCTAAGGAAAAGACTGCCCATGTGATCAAGAAAATAGAAACTGCCAGTAAGTCGTAAAGCAACATCTTATTTTTTCTTGCATGAAGCTTTCTGTAGCAGTATGCAAAAATTAGTTAATCTCAATATTACTGTGTAATCCTGCAATCTTACAATTTGTTGTGATTACATAAATTTGACTTTACGTTCTTTTGTTGCGTAAAGGAAATCGTTGAAGTCTGCAAGGAAAGCACATGAGGCCCATCTTGGTGAGATCCGTGAATTGGAGCGAGAACTAGATGAAGTTGAAAGAAGAAGACTGGACTTCGAAGAAAGAGCTGAAGAACAGAGTCAGAGTCAAGGACGTGATTATCAACTTGAAGATTCGCAGGTAATGTTTCTGTTTTTTCTGTGTTATTTTAGGTTAGGGAAGAGATAAGTGTTGATTTTGTGTAGTTTCTAAAGAAACACTTTCTAGAGAACATTTCAAAATGGTTACATGTTGTTTGATGAATCTGACTCAACACTTCTCATTACAAGGATAATTGCTGAGTTAGTGAATGTACTGCGTATGGTAGCTAATTTAGCTGAAAGATCAAATTAATAGTGTACTATAGGCTAACCACAGATGAAATAGCTCGTAAAATATAGACTGGTATTTTGTTTACTTTCTGTTTTATTCTTTTCGTTTAAACACAGCGTGAAAGAAAAAGAACGAATGTTGTCGAATGTAGTATTTTCTCATTAATGTTCACGTGTTGATAAAGAATAATGTATTTCAAGAGCTTAACATTTTCTTTCCAAATCTGAATATCGTTAATGCTCGCATCCTACCCATTTCTCAGATGCACTTTTATTGATTTTGTTTAAATTATGGTACGAAGGCAAGACACAGTGATACATAACAAATTGGAATATTTCTTGTCATCAAATTCATCCATGCTTATTTTTCTAATGTTACAATTCGATCAAATTTTCCATTTAGGTGTTTATAATATCAAAAATCATATGTTTATTTTTACAAAGATAGAGACTGACATTTACAGTGTTCTCCACAATCTAAAATAGCTGGTGGGCGGCCTAATTAGCATAAATTTGCATATTAATTTGCATATCATTTACATACAGC